TACTAATACTAATACTAATACTAATACTAATTAATACTAATATTGATGTTGATTCTAATACTGATACTCATCCAATATTGATACTCATACTAATACTAATACGGATCCTGATACTGTTACTAATAGTGATACTGATATTCATAGTAATATTAATTGTAATACTAATCGTTGTATTACTCATATTAATATCAATACGACTATCAGTATTATTAATACTAATACTGATGCTAATGTACTAATATTAATATACTAATACTAATACTAATATTAATATTAAAACTAATACTAATACTAATACTAATACTAATACTAATACTAATACTAATACTAATACTAATACTAATACTAATACTCATACTAATATTGATACTAATACTCATGCGCATACTGATATTAATTCCGATACTCTTACTGATACTGATACTGATAATAATACTAATACTGATATTGATATAATTATAGTAATAATGATACTCATAGTAATATTAATTGTAATACTAATCGTTGTATTACTCATATTAATATCAATATGACTATCAATATTATTAATACTAACACTAATGCTAATGTACTGATACTAATATTAATATTAATACTAATACTAATATAATACTAATACTAATATTGATACTCATAGTAACAATTAATATTAATATTAATACTGATACTAATACTAATGCTAATTTAAATGCTAATGATACATATACTGATACTGATACGTATACTGTAACTGATATTGATACTGATATGGATATTGATACTGATACCGATGCTGATATTGATACTGATATTGGTACTGTTACTGATACCGATACTTATATTGATACATATATTAATATTGATACGGATATTTATATTGACATCAATACTAATATTAGTATTAATACTAATAATGATACTAATGTTAATACTATTACTAATATTAATATTTTAATATTGTTAATGTTAATGCAAATGGACTAATGTTAATACTAATTTTAATGCTAATTTAATATGTATATGCTAATTATTATGCTAATGCTAATTATAATTATAATCCAAATTATATTATCCAAATCCTTATCCTATCCTAATTATATTCATAACACTAATTACAAATCTAATTCTAATCATAATCATAATTCTATTCCTAACACTAATTATAGTTTTAATCATAACCCTAACAATTGTAATACTAATAATGCTAATGTTAATTCTAATTCTAATCTTAATTATAATTTTAATCATAATCCTAATGTTAATCATAATCTTAATACTAATACATGTCACCAATCAAACAAATTTAAAATAAAAAACCCAAAAAAATAATAATATAGTCGCCGACTCTAATTGTAATGTCAACGACACAATACATTTACATAAATGTACTGTCAACGACAGTACAATTACATAAATGTACTGTCAATAACAATATAATTACGTTAATGTACTGTCAATGACAGTATAATTACGTTAATTTACTGTCAGTGACGGAACAATTACAGTCAACGTTTAGCGGCGGGCGTAAAAAAATGGATTTAAAAAAATCGAAAAAGTCAACGTTGGAGACCGGCAGCGGGAGAAACAGACCAGAACAAAAGAAAAAAAATATCAACGCCGAAAACCGGCGAAAAAAAAAATTATTTATGAAAAAAAGATAAAAAAAAAGTTAAAATTGATTAAATTGGGGTTACAATTAAGAATTTGGTGTAAAGGGTTGGGGGTAATTTTGTCATATACATTATTTCTTCCTTTATTTATAATACATATTAAAAGGATGGCTTATTGGCGAAAGAGATATAGCACCTGAACTTAGAATAATAAAAATGGTTGGTTAGGGACTTATGCACAAAAACCCGTTAATTTCACAAATTTCACGTATTTAGAGGATATCTATACAATAAAAATAAAATAAAAAAACTTCATGGGGGTGCTTATTGTTTTCAATAGTAGTTAATTGTATTTTTTATCTTATATTCTAGAATTACAATGATAAAATTAGTTAAACTAAATGAAAATCTTATGAACTCAGGCCTATGATGCACGGAAACTTCAACCTTCACGCGTTTCTACAATTCGGAAATCGAAACTCCATGACACATGTTGAAAATGTTTTAGGGCCGTTTTCATAAATATTTAAAAGTTTCGGGGACGTTTATGATAATAATGAAAATTGGAATCGCGTTTCCAAACAAAATAAATCCAAATTTCATTTAAAAAAAACTCCGAATTGCATACACTTAAAAAAATCTTAAATATTATGTCTCCTTTTCATTTCGTGTGGTGTTTTAATATTTTTGTAGAGGTTTTATCAAAAAAAAAAATTTGTAGAGGTTAATTCCATACTAAAATAAATTTATATGCCCCGAATGTAATTTGTGGAATGATATTAAACATTATAATATGTACTAGAAATTATGAATGCACCCTATATTTTGATTATTTACGTGTTTCCCCACGTTCTCGTATCCTGCTATTTGAAAAACGAAATTTCTCTGTGTTCGTGTCCCTATTTTCCAGTATCCGCATTCATGTGTCTGTGCTACATAAATTAAGACATATAAAATTAAATGAATTTTATGAACTTACACAATGAGGAAAAAAAAAAGTTGGGAAAGGTTAAAAATAGTAAGAGCATCTCCAATGAGTAAGCAAATGGGGTCTCCAAATTCTGTTCTCGAGACCCACATGGAGACTCAATAGAACTTTAGAATCCTTATGGGAGACCATTATGATTTTAAGTCTTTAGATCATGTTACGGATTGTTTTATATAGTAATTTAATTATGGCTCAAATTTTAGATATACGTAGTTGTAGTAGTTAAATTTTATTTGAACAATCTTAATTATTTTTAATGCACATTTCGATCTAAAATATGATAAATTCAGAAAAGATTTGAACTATAAACATTGTATATGATTTCAATTAAAATATTTGTAACCCCCACTGATTTGCACCGCCTTTCACCCACACATTTTTAACCTTTTTTTATTTATTATTTTTTTTATATTTACTCTTCTCCAAACCTAATTCAGGATAACAGAGCAGCCCGTTCTCCCGAGTTTCATTTTTCTCTCTATGCTTCAAATTTTCCGAGTATTGACTGACAGCCAACCCAACCCTCTTACTTCTAATTTTATCAGTTCTCATTCACCGGACCGTAAGTTCAATCATATTCCCCTAAATTTTTACAAGCATTGAAGCGAAAAAATAAAATAAAACTCACAATCTGAAATTTTAAAAGTGATGAAGAAGATGAAGAACAATTAGAGGTATTTACGTTTCTTTTTTCATTTTTTGTTACCGTTGAAAACCAACGGTCATATTCGCAATTCATTCAATTTTTTGTTTTTATCTAAAAGAAAATTCAAAACTTAAATGCAAGAAATTGAGTCTTATTTGAAGTTGGATCCCATAAAATACGAGTATAACTGAAAATTTAGAGCCGCTCTTAATTTATTGTTGGTGTTGGATTTTCTCTCACAATATTTATCTTTTGCAGCCAAAATTGGAGTTTACTTACTCCATGCCCTAAAAGAGTGAGGTATGTAGGAAAATGACATATCACTACCAAACCAAATAAAATAACAAGCTGGGATTGATGGAGGGAAACTAATATTAACTGAGGGGGCCAACTGACTCTGCAACTTTTGTACCTCAAATAAAATAAAGTAAATTTGAATCTAAGAGAGAGTGTCGGATACAGCAGTGTCCTTGTGCTCAGTGGTCTTGTTCTATCAAACACACCACCCCCCTTCCCATTTCCTCATTTTATTCAATTCAATTAAATTAAATATAAAAAAAATTCCACTTTTTTTTTTTTAATTTTACTTTGCATTTTCTCTTTGCTGTCCGAAAAGAAGAAAAAAAACAAATGTAACTGCTCATAAGACAGGGATCTGAAAATTCCTATGTTACAGTAACTGGTGTGAATTTGAACCTAAGAGTAACTGTTATAACTTATAATGCTATAATTAATGGTGGATGAGAATCTCTAACTTTTACTATTTAATTAAAAAAAAAAAAAAAGCTTCCTTATTATTTAACAGTAATAATCAATTTTACACACACTAACAGTAAAATTGTAAAATTGTAAAATTGATCATTCACTCACTAGTAATAAATTTTCAAATTTCTTTGTTTTTTTTTTCTTTTTTAATAATATATGATCAGTTGATAGGTGAAGACAACAAGTAGAGAATTGTAAATGAGATATATAGATCATAGTACCCTACCATAAATTCAGATTCTTTCTTGGGATCACAAAACATAACCATTTACCCACTACAACTAAAAACTTACACACACACACATTTGAAGTGACCAATCTACATTATTATTATTATGGTAAATTACAACCATTCCTAGATAAGCTTAAATTACGAAAAAAAAATCTCTCATGTTTGGGTAATTATACATACCCTTTAACTATAAATCTTCTTACACGTCTACTCTCGTGGTATCAATTTCAACATAATTTTCTAAGATTCCGTGAAATGTTTTCTAGTTTATACTCATTTTGTCAAAAAATGCACAATCTGATACTTACAAGCCAAAAAACACATGTTACGATAATCTTCCAAAAATGAAACACACCACAATTTGATATTTATAAGCCAAAAAACACATGTTACGATAATCTTGCTTCAAAATGCGGAGCTCGAATGGGATAAAATGGGTACATACCTAAGAATATTCCATATAATATCTAGAAGATTCCACTAAATTTGACACCACAATGGTGGACGTTTAAGAAGATTCATAATTAAGGAGATCATTGTAATTACCCAAACATGAGGGGTTTTTTTTTCGTAATTTGACTTACCTAAGGTGTGGCCGTAATTTACCCTAATAAATTAAAATTAATAAAAGTATTATTATTATTATTATTATTATTATTATTATTATTATTATTGTTGTTGTTGTTGTTATTATTATTATTATTATTATTATTATTATTATTATTATTATTATTATTCGGACATGTTATATAATGCAGCCCCATCACATCAAATGTCCAATATTGCTCTTTAAAAGGGGGTGATATTCATGTGGGGGCAAAAAACATAGTAGAATCAATAATTGGTGTTGATCAAATTAGATCATCATCATTAACCAATGTAACAAACAATTGTCCGATGATGATCCAACGTTAGAATAATAACCAAAACAACATTAACAATAACGTAAACACCAGGTTATTATAATTGCAGCACCACCCTAATAATGGAGCTTCAGATATCTTCAACGGCGAACCCCTTTTGGTTTTCCCACATACACCAACCCCAACCCCACCACCACCACCGTCGTCCTCCGCCGCCGCCGCCGCCGCAGAGGGGGTCAAACACAGACCTGCATTCCCACTCAGGTCGAGATTCCTCCCTAGCCTCCTCAAGAAACTCGAGTTGAAAGGCACAACCCCGTCGAGCAGGTTCCTGCTCAGATTCATGTGGTAAATGCGTGACAGGCCGGCGAACCCCGCCGGAATCTCGCCGGAGAGACGGTTGTTCTGCAGCGACAGCGAGCTGAGGTTGACAAGCTGGGAGTACTCCGGTGGTATCTTCCCCCAGTACCCGGAGTTGGATAGCCTGAGCTCTTGAAGCTTCTTCAACTGCCCGAATTCCACGGGCAGCGGCGCGAACATCGGGTTGCCATCCATCAGAAAGTACTGCAAATTACGCAGCCCAATCTTCTTCTTCCCGCCAAAACCAGCGCCGTGGATATTCAACCTGTTGTTGCTCAAAGCCAAGAAAACCAGAGATTCCAAACTATTAAAAACAGATTGAGGAATAGTTCCACCAAGTGAATTGGAGCTTAAATCCAGCTTCTGAAGAACCGCAAGCTCCCCGATCGAAGACGGAATCTCTCCGGTCAGCCGGTTATAGCTTAAATCAAGCCCGACGAGTTTTTGGAAACTTCCAATTTCCGACGGGATCGGACCGGTGAGCATATTGTAGCTCAAATCCAGGTGCACAAGAGAGCTCCCGGCGGGGAACGTAGCCGTCGGGATTCGTCCCGACAGCCTGTTTTGCGACAATGTGAGTATATGAAGGGATGTAAGAGTAGAAATTAGCCGAGGTGGGATTGCGCCGATGAGCGCCGAATTCGATCTCAGGCTAAGCTGCTGCAGAGGGGAGGGTGTCGGTAAGGCCCTGTTTGGGGGAGGGAATGTAATTCTTGTCGGGGTACGAGTGAAGCACTGGAATATGAAAATTGACTCGAGGTGCGGGAGCTCGAATATTTCCGGAGGGAAAGTCGCCGAGTTTTTGCAGGACGGGTTCGGGGGTGTCCCGAAGTCGAGCCTCGTGACGTGGGAGTATCGGGTGTCGTTTGCGGTGAATTTGCATACGATCCCGGGCCAGGAAGAAGCGCCGGGACGACATGGATTCGGGTACGAAGATCGCCAGTCTTGGTCGGAGGATAGGGTTTCCATGATTTTGAAGAGGGTTTCTTGTTCGAGTGGATGCATAGTGGGAATGGTTGAACCAAAGACTAATATTGGGGATGAAGAATAGTAGTAAAGAAGAAAAGAGATTAGCAATTTTAGGACTAGTTGATGAAGTGTAAATGAGGAGTGTGAGCACAACATGTTTGTGTGAATTTTGGTGGATAATAGAATGTTGTGGTATGGGAAAATTGGTTTTTGATGTGGGAGGAAATTTACAATTTACATCTCGGAAAAAAATGATAAATAAATAAAGGTAAATGAGTTGTACTAAGGATGATTTGATTGATATGATGGGTGGGGTCTTTTTTTTTTTTTTTTTTTTTGAGTGAGAAAATTCAGGGTATGTAGGGTCAATTATTTTTCACTTGAAATTTGAAAATTATTAGAAAAGGGGGTTTGGGAGAAAACATGGCACGTTTCATTTTAACATGAAAACAAAAGATCAAAGGATTATTTATCAAGATAGTAAATGGTGGGAATCTAGGTGCGAGGCTACACACCACTTTACGATTAATTGGTGTGGCGATAATTAATCGATGATAAATCGGTGTTTTGAAATTTAATATAATTTGAACATTATTTATAAATACTCAAAACATATATAACAAGATTATTTAAATATAATTTTTGCCCCATTGTTTATATATCATAATCACATAATAAAATTTAATAGTAATAAGATCATATTATAACAAAAATCCTTACAAAATAAAAATAAAACGAAAATCTTATCCATTCAAAATTATGTTTGAACATTGTAAGCATTTATCATTAGGTCCTCTAAATTAAAATTAACATAACAAAATAACATAATACAAAACATAAACTCATTTTTTATTAAAAGCCCAACTCTTTTTTTTTTATTAAAATATTACCGATTATTGATCAATTTTGCCCACCTAAGTCTGACTGGCCCACCTTCTAGGTTTGACTCTCTCAACCTGCAATGTGCGGACCATCTAATCACCGCATAACCAATTTTTCAAACATTTACACCAAAATTATAAAAGTTTTAGACCGCCTTCATCTTGGAGACCAATTAATCAGCCGAATTAACCAATTTTTAGAAGACTACTTTTTACATATGAAGAGATAGAAAAAGAAAAAGCAACGATAGAAGTGAAAACTCTAGTGTGTGGCCCAATTCTAAAATTCTTCACACATGTCACAAAATAACATCGAATTCATTAATTGAATTTGTGGACATATTATTAAAGCTGGAATTTTAATTACAATAGGACAGTGTTCTAAAAATCGATCGAAACGTTGATTAATCGGTCTTCGAAGTGGAGGCGGTTCCAAACATTTACGATTTTTGTGTAAAGGTTTGAAAAATAGTTTTTTGACATGTGAGGCGGTTTTAGGCAGGTCGCGGGTGTTAGGATAGTATACTAAAAGTCTCGCTTTTAGCTTCGTAGTTTTATTTATTGAATTAATAAAATAGTTTATTATCATTTTATGAGAATCTGCACTAGGGTATTCAATGCATTTAATTGATTGTTTGTAAATTAATTAAAAGCATAAGTCTAATATTCTAATAGTATTCGAAATGGTGTGCTACGGCGCACAGAAAGATCATTTTGAAAGTTCGTTTAGAATATAAAGATAAACGTTCACAATCTAGATGGAAATGGACTAACCATTGGTAAAAGATTGTAGCACAATATTTAAGTGATTGGTCTTGATCACAGTAAACAGAGAATAATTTTTGTAGTTATTGTTTTGACTTATTGTGCTAGCACACCCGACATGTGTTGAAGCGGACAAAGTGAAATAATTGTTTCATCACTGTTCAAAATGAAACTGTATTATTTCTAGTTGACAGTAAATTACTTACTCTCTTAATCCCTAGATAATTAACGTACATATTTAATTGATGATCTCTACTTTGATGTCACAATGGGAGAGATTCCTATATTGAGTCAAATGGCCCCCGGTGCGTTGCGTAGAGACATTAAGAATTAATAGGTGGAAATTAATTATCGAAAGGAATCCACATCTCTGAAATATGAGATTGATAATAACCCTTGAGTAGCTTATATGATTTGTTTATGCCAAGTCCTGGCCAAGTGGATTTCGTATCCGACATACTCAAATAAATTAAGCGGGTAAGACTCATGAAAAGAAACCATTTAATTTATTTAGCAGTGAATAAATTATTTGGTGGTTATAAGATATCTTAATGTGGGGAGAATCTAAGTAATGATCGACCGGAGCTCGAATGTAATATTTGAGAATATAAACAGGAGTTCAATAATTATTTGGTAGTGGAAAATAAATAATTATTTAATGATTAATTAAATGAATTCTTTTAAGAGTTTGGATTTAATTAATTATTAGTTGCCCGATTTATATTTTCTCCTTTAGTCCCTATTGTAGCCCAATGGATTTTCTAATTAATCGAAAAAAAATAAGGTTCAACCAATATTATATATTGGAATTAATATAGCCGAAAATTAAGTCCCCATTGGACTGTAATTTTCGACTATATAGAGTTATAGAAGGAGTGGGATTTGTTTCCATGTAATCCTCTCTATGTGTGACTCTAATTCCTTGTGCTATATAATAGAGATTGAGTTGATGAGAGAAAAAAAAGAACTCCTACACGCCTATTCACGTTCCGGAGATGAGAATATTTTTCTCTTCTTCTTTTCTCTCTAAGTTTCTCGATTATAGATTTAGATTTCTTCAAGTACAAGTCCACCCTTGTAGAAGAATTATTAATCCGGGATATACAATAGAAGATTATAGGTTTTTAGAGCAAACATTTATTCCCGAATTTTCTGAGCAGTCCTGCGAAGAAATTCACCATAAATCAACCGTTTGTCCGATTGACTCGAAATTTATACAGTAGCTTCCTAACCCTTAGATCTACAATCTGCCTAAAGGGTTTCTCGATCGGTTCAACGATCGCGGAGATATCGGTAAAGGAAGAGGACTAGAAATTTCTGGACAGCAACTTTTACAAAGGTTGAAGGCTTGACGTGGATCCTCGTTCGTGCGCCGAAGATAGAAACGGATCTGCTCGCGAAAACTGTAAGTTTCTAGATTAGATTTATTCTGCTTTAAAAGAATCTAATCAAAGCATGTTAATAAAATTAAAATCGGCTAATCTAGAACCTCTTGCGAATTTTCATTGAATCCTGGGCTTCACATCCCAACAGCGGGTTGAAGCGGTCAAAACCTTGGAGCCTGGTCAAACCTTGGTGGCAAAAATCTGTTTTTTTTTCTTTTAATTTTTTAATTCAAAATCAAAGTTGGGCTTTTAATAAAATTGAATTTATGCTTTATTTTGTTTATGTTAATTTTTATTATTAAAGAACCTAATGATATATGCTTCGAATGTTCAAGAATAAATTTAAGGGGCCTTAAGATATAGGTTCTCAGTGACAAACTTTATTAGTACTAAATGACAACCTTAACTAAACATTTTCTAAACATCCTTCATAAAATTCATTCCAAAAATGCCTCGTGCATTAAATATATTTTTTTTTCCAACCAATATTTTTAATTTTTTATACAAAACACGTTTAATTTTCTTTTTCTTTCTATTTCTCCATTTTAGCAATTTTTACACAATTAAAAAAAATATTTTTTTCTCTTCATATTATTGAAGATTACAATTTTTTTTTTTTTTTTTTTTAAATTCAATTTACATATTTTTAATTTTTTTTTTGATTTTATTTGTTGTTAATACTGTGGTAGACTATAGTATACTACGGTGTACTGTAGCATACTACGGGTTACAATAGCATACTTGTGCAATAGCAACTACGGTCTACTGTTCTAAACCCTAGCCGCAAAACAACTCTCAGCCGTCGCTGAACCCTAGTCGTCAACAAATTCGCAGCCGCTGCCGCCAACTTCAATCCACCGAACCCTAGCCGCCAATCAAAACCCTAGCACCATCAAAGAGGCCTAGATGCAAGCACCTCCCACCGTAGACTAACCTCACACCACTGTCTCCAATGGCTATCTACCACCATAACCATCCGCTCTTATATACGACAATGTATTACCGCTGCAATTTGCAGATCTGTAATTCTCTCTTACCGCTCTCAACCGTCATGAGCCATGTATCACCGCTACAATTTGCAGATCTGTAATTCTCTCTTACCGCCACCCACCATAGCCACCATAATTGAGTAGAGATAGATAGAGCGAGAGGGAGAGGGAGAGGATGAGAAAGAGGCGAGAGGGAGAGCGAGAAGACGAGGCGAAAGGAAGAGAAGGAGCGGCGAGAGGCGAGAGAGAAAAAAAAAAGAAAATCTGATTAGTTGAATAAACGTGGGAGGGATAATTACATTTTTGGTCCCTCATGTTCGGACCGATTCCACTTTTCGTCCCCCTGCTTTCAAAGTGAACAAAGGTTTCATTTTTAAACAGATTTGGTCCACTTCGTCATATGGACGTTAGCAATTAATGGAGGAAGTCACGTGCACCGCACGTGACCCTCGATTAGGTCTGAAAAACGGGGAAAGAACCCCCAATTCCCATTCCCAGCATCAGACTTCTCAATTCCCAAATTTTTCGAAGAACCCTAAATCGTATTCACTTTCCTCAAAAAAATCAATCACTTTCACCAACAATCTTCCCGCTAATTGTTATCCCACCCTAAATCTGTCATATGCGATACAGAGGAGTGGTCAAGTCGCCATTTTTATCAAGAAGGTTATACGAATCTCGGATTTGCTCCATGTCGCGAAGAAGTTTGCACGCATCAGGATTTATTCCAAATTATGGTAAATGTCCACTAAACTGAACAAGTGTGTGTCACTTATGCACTTTAATTTGTAAACTTCAACTAATTTTTTTTTAATTGTTTGCTTTCAGCAATTCTTGGTGAAAAGCTAGGGTGTACTGTTAAATTATATTATGGAGGGGTAATGAAGCATAGTCCTCAAATGCATTATGTAGGTGGGAATATAGAGTACTTTGATTTTGCAAATGCTGGTAGGAAGGATGGGGATGCTTGATCTGTGGGGATATGCAGGGGAATTAGGTTACTTTGATACAGTAAGTTACAAACTTTTGGCATAAATATGGAGAAAGTTTGACTGTGGGCCATTATTTGAAAACTGATGCAGATTTTCATTTATAAGAAAACACTTACCTGATAACCATGAAGTTGAAATATTCATGGAAGAATTGGGTTTGCAAACTGGTGACATAATACCTACTGTGCAAAGCCAGATAGCATCATCAGTTATCCTTGAAGAACCTATACTATTTAATGAGCCTGCAAATGCAAACACAGAGAAAAGATTGCATAAGCTTGTAGATGAGAGTGACAATGATGAGGAGGATGATGACTTTTATGAAAGTGAATATGACTTTGAAGAAGATGATCAGCTGTTTGATGAATTTGTTGACTCTGAAGCTGAATTTAATGCCTCTAAAAGTAAGGGTAAGTCTACGTATGG